ATGGGAACTAACTGCGCCCCTTTAATAGCAGATTTATTCCTGTATTGCTATGAATCTCAGTTTATGACCAAACTCAGTAAAGACACGTCATTGTTACATTTGGTTGATACATTCAACAATACCTTCCGTTATCTAGATGATATTTTTTCGTTAAATAATCCAGAGTTCTGTAAATATACAACCGAAATTTACCCAATAGAACTTACTTTAACTAAATCTAACATAAACAGCAGTAGTTGTCCTTTTCTGGATTTGGACATTTCAGTCTCTAAAGGAAAACTCCGTACGAAAATTTACGACAAAAGAGACGATTTTTCATTCCCTATTGTTAATTTTCCTTTTTTAGACGGCGATGTTCCTTTGACTCCATCATACGGTGTTTATATATCCCAACTCGTTCGTTATGCCCGTTTGTGTAGTGATGTCATAGATTTTAACGAACGTAATCAATGCATCACTGGTAAATTATTAAGTCAGGGATTTCGTTACCATAAACTACGTAAAACTTTTGCTAAGTTCTTTCATAGATACAAAGATTTGATTAGTAAATTTGGCTGTACTTGTAGAAAACTGATTAAAATCGGTATTTCACATCCTAACTTTTACGGTTATTGTACTTAAAGCACTTAAACTCATCGAACCTTTAAACAAACTTATTAGTTAAGGTTATCTTACCAATGTTGTAATAAGATCTTTGAATATAGTTTACATTGGCATTAATATCGATTTTGTCATCAGCAAATTTAAACATAACTAAATTTGTATTCTTTTCAAACGGGATGTATAAAGACACACTCACGTTCGTTTTGATCTATAAAGAGGTTAAACTCCTAACTATCCTACTGTCTGTCGATACATTTATTTTTGGCATTGCACTAGTCATGTCTTCTTTGACTGTCCATGACGTTAAAATACTAAATCCCTGGGATGTGTTTTAGTTGATTTTAGTCTCTCAGACTGATGCATGATTTTTTATTATTAATTGTTTTGGCTTTTAACTAGCTGTCAGTAACTGCGAGTACTCTCAAATCGTACTTTCTTGTTTATTTGACCTGTTGATACTAATTGTATTGCTTTTTTGTTATTAAGTGTTATTCAGGGTTATATCTGGTCTATATACCAGCTTTGATAAGTGTTTGATATTACTATAAATTTTCACTTCGTACTATGAACATCAAAATTATTTATTTTGTAGAAATATTCCCTTTCTCTATTGGAACTGTACACGTATACCTAACAACAAAATTATTTTCATTTACCTGTGTTTAAAGTTATCGCAAATGGCTGATATTTTTGTTCGAGCATATTGCTTAACATTTCATACCGATATAACATGTTACTTTTATTATTCTTCCCTTAGTTTATCTATTTTGTATTTACATTGCATCATAGGTCAAATTTATTTGTTCAGTGTATGTTCAATGGTGTTAATATGTCCTTTGATTGAGTTAAGCTATTTCAGTTGATATTTTATAGTGTGTCTTTCTACATGTATGTTGTGATGTTACACTATTGTTTCAGAAAAAGGGTGAAGGTTTGGTACCATTAAAACGTTTGAAACCCGCTGCATTTGTTTGCACCTGTCCTAAGTCAGGAATCTGATGTTCAGTAGTTGTCGTTTGTTGATGTGGTTCATAAGTGTTTATCGTTTCTCGTTTTTTATATAGATTAGACCGTTGGTTTTCCCGTTTGAATGGTTTTACACTAGTAATTTTTGGGGCCCTTTATAGCTTACTTTTCGGTGTGAGCCAAGGCTCCGTGTTGAAGACCGTACTGTGACCTATAATGGTTTACTTTTATAAATTTTGACTTGGATGGAGAGTTGTCTCATTGGCACTCATACCACATCTTCTTATATCTATAAGAATAAAATCTCAGATTTTTAAACTAGACTGTAAAAAAAATGAAAGATAAAATTCTCATAGCATATAGATTTGATAAAAACGTTAAACAGTTTAAACAAATCAATCACATAGCTTCAAAATCAAACATGTTTAAATTAAATTTGGTTTTGAAATAATAGTCAGTTTTGAATTGCATATCTGTTAACAACATCGTTTTAACTGGCATGGTGGCTTCCGCTTACCGATATTTGACAAAATAGTTTATTTACAATTTTGGCGGAGCCGGCAAAATAGCCACGGCCTTTAAACCATAATTATTTTGCCTAGTATAAAAGTTCTGGGTAATATAAAAAGGATTCATTGAACCATTTAAATGAATTATATTTCAATTTTTACAGGTGACTACATATTTCACGCGCTTTAAGTACAATTAGAGAGAGCAGTACTATGTAATCTGGTCAGTGACGTATAAATGTCAGGATTATATGAACCTATCGTTCATTCAAATGTTTAATTCTGAATGTTGATTTGAGAGTAAGCATGTAATCCTCCGGAATGAGAATGATGTTTATGAGTGCACGTGTGGTTCTGGTGTCCGATGACTTTTGTACACTTCTAATGTTTTCTATGATTATTGAAGTACATGTAATGCTATGTACTGTCTATACACAGTGTTTATCTTTATCTGTGTTTTCATCTTTTACTTCTTTACTAGAAAATAAACTTTTCTGTGTTTAAGTGAATCACATGTTTTCTTTTCACATACAAATAAGATGATGTGGTGTGATCAACTATCCTCATACATTTTTTACGACTGTACTTTGTTCGCCAAGATATTTTACAGCTTTCTATCTAAATTCCTTCTTCCCAATAGAAGACATTCATTGCTTATGTTTTAAAATCCTTTATGACTTTTAATTTAATCTATAATGCTATAGAATTATGTTTGTTTACATGGTCTCTGCAATTTCTATTTCGCAAATATCAATGCAGAAAACGAGTATTCGGGCCACTTACACGAAATTTAATTGAAGCGCTTATATGCAGCTTAAATCTTAATATCAGTAAGTTTCTGTTAATAGAGTTAAAAAAAAACAAGATATATGGACGAGATTCAAGAAATATTTTGTTAAAAAATTCTTGTGGTAAAATGATTATAAAGTTACTAGAACGTTAATGAAAACAATTTTAACGTTACGCGCCAACGGCTAAAATACCATTTGTACCTTGGTCTTTTCTGATGCCCTGGAAAATTATGCAAACACAGTTACAAGTTTAATGGTTATCATTTTATGAACTACACTCGTTACTGATCCTTCTGCAGTAATTTGGTCAATTTCTGAGATAGGGCCGTTTTTAACCCTTCGTGGCCCTACTCCTTTAAGCTTTACAAGTTAATAGCAACGTGAAAAAATATATTACTACAAAGATTTCCATTTGTTACTTTAAGTTCATTTGACTTTTTTTGTCTGTAAAATCGGCGAATCATTCCAAAAAAAAATATTTAAAAAATCGGCACTATATTAATATCATTTAATAACTTCTTTACAATTATAAATCGCTTTAAGATTAAAAAAAATCACATGATCAAACCAAAAATGGCGGCATGATGATAAGTTTTTGAAAAAAAAAATATAATTTTTTTTATTTATCCAATATCGATATAGATATAAATCCGTTTTTCTTTTCATTTAACAACACCTTTCCTTTGGGTAAAACATTATTAAATTTTGTAAACTGTGTGTTTTTATTTTTAAAAAGGCCTAGTTTGGGATCAATGTTATTTGTCATTTGTAAATAAACTCCGACCTGCTAACTTTTTTGTTCATGATCAGGAGACATATGGAATACTAGAGAGTGCATTTATGATTTTCAATGGTCAACTCAGCGCTTATTTGTCAGAGCATCGGTGGTCGAGTAGTCTAAGAAGTTCATCTATTGTATCACTAGCCTGTCAACACTGAGGTTGTGAGTTCAATCTCCGCATATGGCAGGTGCGTTCGATTTCCATTTCAATAGAATAGAATGGTCAGTTTTACTGCCGAAATCGGTGGTTTTCTCTGGGCACTCCAGCTTCCTCTACCAATAAAAAGTTACCGCCACGATGAAGTAAATAGTGCTGAAAGTGGCGTTAAACACCAACAATCAATTAATCAATTTAATTTTACATGTAATCCCAAAAGCCTAATATAATTTCATTGATTTTTAACGGAAATATATATATTATCCGATTTTAGGAAATTTGATGGTTCATAATAATCATATATAGTACACCTCGGGAAATTCCAATATGATATTGAAATCGAAACTAAATTGTATGATGTTCCAGATTTGTGCAGAAATAGTTACAAGGAAATACTGACAAAGGATCGTTCATCCGATGAATTAAGACAATCGTTTTTTTAATATATATTTTCAATTATCAAAAAATAGTACATATTCTTAGTCTGAGCTACAAGGCACACGTATGTATTTAACTATTAATGATATCTATATATTATAATATAATCACATACCGGTATCAGTATTTTGACCATTGGTTTGCAGAAATCTGAATATTACTCCAAACTTGCCTAATTAAAATATTAAAGCATTAGCAAACAATTACTATTGCAATTATTTAAAGAAAACTTCTTCGTGTAATATAACGCTTAAAGACCTTTTAGACGATTGCATTGGGAAAATATCAATTTGTTTACAACAACCACAAATACGTGTATGCCGAGCAAAATGAGTAGGTGCATTGCACTTTATTTTTCAATATGATTATTTCACAACAGTGCATTAAAAAAAACTATTATATCTAAGTTATCGCGTTATCGGCGGTATTAAAAAATTAAAAACAAATTGTGCATGTTGTGTATTTCCCCTCAGCTAGCGGTCACAAAAGAGTAAGACCAAAGACTTACGCTCGTATAATAATTAAGCGTGCCGCGTTGTGACGATATAGCTTGGTTTTGAAAGTTGATTTCTGAATTAGTAAGCCCAAAATATTACTCGTGCTAGTATGTAAAAAGAAAATAAAAGTGATAAAAAATTAGTTTATCGTGCGTTTAATAATTGCAGTTTGATGTTGAGCCCTAATCAATTACTGAATCAATATATAAAGTTTTGTCTAAATATTTTACTTTGCTTCTATTTTTCCCTTAGTGTAGCGTCATGTTTTCGACAAATATACTCATTCTTGGATTGGTTATATCTACCACTCATCATAGGCATTGTCAAGAAGATTCTGAAGTTTGTAATTTTAAGAGGACAACCACATGTAGCACCGATAAAAAGTTTCAGGTTGACTGCACGGGAAAAAATTTATCTCATATTCCCAAGTTTCCGAATTCTACAAAAACACTCATTCTAGCGAGAAACAAAATAAAATGTATAGCGGAAGGAATATTCGCTGCCCACAATGCTCTTGAAGACTTGGATTTATCACATAACATTCTTGTTACACTGATGCCAAATTCGTTTAAAGGACTGAAGAACTTGTTGCGTCTGAACCTGCAAGGCAATACACTTGGGAAAAATAACACAGAATTGCCGAAAAATTGTTTTAAATATCTAACGAAACTACGACAGCTAAACGTTAAGGATAATCCAATTACTGTATTTCCAGATCTATCTTTGGTACTTAGTCTTGAAACTTTGAATGCAACTTTTACCAACAGAATGACTTTCGGTCAGCAGTTACAAGGACTTGGATTTCTTAACCATCTAGATTTATCTTCTTCATCATGCAAGCCGAAACAACTTGATAATAACACATTTAAAGGAATGGCAGCTTTACGTTATTTAGATGTGTCAAACAACAGCTTGTACAGCATATGGAAAGGTACATTCGCACATATGCAACATCTTCAGTTTTTGGACATATCTTATAACACTCGGTTGGGCTTTCGAGGACTAAGAAATGTCACCAATGATTTATCAAAAACTTCAATTGAAATCTTCAAATTTCAAAAATTGGTTCCGACATTTTCAATGAATCAGATGCTGATGAGAGAACACTTAGAACCTCTAAGGAAAACCAAATTACGGGAGATGTATTTTGATAGCAATCGTATTCAGCTTCTGCAAGCAGGAACAATAAGTCTTTTACCGAAAACAATAGATACAATTTCTATTAGTGACAATCCACTCTCGTATGGAGAATATGTTTTAGAGTTTCGACAGTTATCAGCAAAAATTTTAAATGTTTCATTTCTGAGCACGTCACACCTACCAGTCAATGAAGGATTTTGTGTTTCGGATTTGCATGACAAGGATTACGAACAAACTCTGTATGAGTATAATTATGTTGTGGGGGCACAGCAGGTATCAACGATGTCTCGGCAATTCATGGCATTCAATGCCGGTTTTAAGCTGGATGTTTTGAACATAATTAATCTACCTTTGCATCTTCGTGTATTGTATTTCACGGCTAGTAAATCAGAATTTGAGATTCCAAGGCTCCGTTTCAGTGATAATGTACTAGAAAAGGTTGATTTCTCCTCCAACATATTCTACTCATTGAAAGGTCCTATAGTCAATATGCCTCATTTACATGAGCTTGATTTGTCAAACAATTTCTGTTCAAACATTTCTAATGTATTTTTCAACGGAACTCCAAATATTCAAAAACTTCTGCTTCAGAATAATTTGTTAGGCTTCATTCTACCAAACGACGAAAAAGGAGAAATATTTAGGCCTCTGGAGAAATTAGAAATCATTGATTTGTCAGACAACAGAATTCCAAGATTGCCTTATTTAATTTTTGAGTCGCATCAATCAATAAAAGAAATAAATTTGAAAAGGAATGTGTTGGAACAAATGCAACTTAAAATTGATCATATGAGAAAACTTACTTTTTTGGATCTGTCAAATAATGTGATACGATTTCTTGATGTTGATGAAACAGCCAATCTCGAGACAGTTGCAAAATACAATACAAATCTTACAGTAGACTTAAGCGGCAATCCAATTCAATGTGTATGTAGCAACATTAACTTTATAAGGTGGATGGCAGCAACAGAGATTCGTTTTAAAGGGTTAACATCTTATTCCTGTCAGCTGTCAAATCTTACCAAAATTTCTCTGGCACATCCGAAAGACCTTGAACAAATACTCGAAAAAGAATGTTCTTCGTATCTTGGTTTGATATTAGGTATTTGTTCGGCGTTGGTTCTTTCCGTTGTAACAGTTACCACTGGCATTGTATATAGATATCGATGGAAGCTTAGATATCTTTACTTCATGGCAAAATTAAAATATAAAAAAACTCCGAGCATATTAAAAAATGATGTTTCCTACGATTTTGATGCATTTGTTTCCTATGCTGACGAAGACCAGAATTTTGTGCACGACAAATTTATCAACCATGTTGAAAAAGATGGAGAACTGCGGATTTGTGTTCATAAACGCGATTTTCTTGTTGGAAATGAAATCGCTGCTAACATTACCGATGCCATACACAGAAGTCGTAAGACTGTTTGCATAATCAGTCGCCCTTTCTTAAACTCGTACTGGTGCATGTTTGAATTCAACATGGCACGGATGGAGAGTATTTACTCACGAGATGGAGAAAACATTGTATATTTAATCTTTCTTGATCAAATTCCAACCAATATCTTACCTCTGATTTTATTGGAACTCGTACAATCACAATCGTACATAGAGTTTCCGAATGACGAATATGGCGATACAATTTTCTGGGAGAATTTGAAACAAGTTTTGAAAGATTGAAAATATTTTAAAAAAAATATTTGCGCTATGTTCATATGTCCTGAATTGTGGCGATTTTACTAACTTTCGAAAAGTTTCTTACTCTTAACATAATCATACATTTTTGTTTAATGAAGCATTGTTTGCAATCTATAATAAAATAAACATAATCGCTTTTATAGAAGGAAGTTTTTGCTTGTATAGATAAACTTGGATTGAGTGACTGTACATTGTAACGAATATATGTCGCCATTATTTTTTATTGTGAAGTCAAATAAGGAAATTAAATAGTAAATGAAAAATCGACAACCAACTTTGTCCCGCATAATGTTTAAAAAAATCAAGTGCAAAAAAATATTTCCTGCAGATTTATATCAAGTTTTGTTTTTGAGGTTTTTGAATTGTTCAAAACAAAAGGAGAGTTATTAAAACGAATCATAGACTTTTCTATTTAAATTGATTTCAGGCTTGTACAAAATTATTATGACATTTTCTCACTAAACAAATGACGAGGGCATATACATGCAAATGTTATATTCTTTGACTCACAAAACTGTTTTGTTGCATGTGGGATTGCGTATGTATATGAAGTAATTTAAATGATAATATTCTCACAGAAAGCCCTCATTTATATAAATCTTATCTTAATTTTCTTTTGCTTTAATACGTTTTGACTTGTACTACTTGATGTTTGCAGAACAAATAGAGGAACTCAACTGGAATTACAAAAAAAAAATATATCAAACCGTACAACAGGCAATATCAACCACCAATTGTTGTGTGAAGAGGCACAAACTGTGATGGGGAATTACACCAGTTTTACATCTTCCTGTCGGTCTGCATCATAGTCAGACTATGTTTCATATATTACTTGACTAATCTTTCTTATGTATGAAGAAGAGTATGTTCATAGCAGTTGATGCATTCATAGCAGAAGACGCCCCCTATCTCGCTACTTTTGCAGTTCGTGCGATTCTTTCAGTTCTTATTTTTTACTTTGATGATTTGTCTTCTGTATCTATTTATGAGATTTTAACATCAGTAAATTACAATAACATAATTTGGTGTAATTTGAAATAACTGTAGTTCGTAAACGTACGTCAGTCTGATCTAATTTTGGTGGTCGGTTTGTATGAGTTAAGATCTCAGAATTTAAAGGATTTGTAATTTGTCAATTCGTTACGTATTGGAAATGAAAACAGCCCGTTGGGAAACTGTATGACCTCTTGGACACTCAAAACTGTTCTTACTAATGGTGACACTTTTTGTAAGATGGATAAATATACCTCTGATTCGATTTGGGAAAAGGAATGTGTTGGAAAAAATGCAACTTAAAATTGATCATATGAGAAAACTTACTTTTTTGGATCTGTCAAATAATGTGATACGATTTCTTGATGTTGATGAAACAGCCAATCTCGAGACAGTTGCAAAATACAATACAAATCTTACAGTAGACTTAAGCGGCAATCCAATTCAATGTGTATGTAGCAACATTAACTTTATAAGGTGGATGGCAGCAACAGAGATTCGTTTTAAAGGGTTAACATCTTATTCCTGTCAGCTGTCAAATCTTACCAAAATTTCTCTGGCACATCCGAAAGACCTTGAACAAATACTCGAAAAAGAATGTTCTTCGTATCTTGGTTTGATATTAGGTATTTGTTCGGCGTTGGTTCTTTCCGTTGTAACAGTTACCACTGGCATTGTATATAGATATCGATGGAAGCTTAGATATCTTTACTTCATGGCAAAATTAAAATATAAAAAAACTCCGAGCATATTAAAAAATGATGTTTCCTACGATTTTGATGCATTTGTTTCCTATGCTGACGAAGACCAGAATTTTGTGCACGACAAATTTATCAACCATGTTGAAAAAGATGGAGAACTGCGGATTTGTGTTCATAAACGCGATTTTCTTGTTGGAAATGAAATCGCTGCTAACATTACCGATGCCATACACAGAAGTCGTAAGACTGTTTGCATAATCAGTCGCCCTTTCTTAAACTCGTACTGGTGCATGTTTGAATTCAACATGGCACGGATGGAGAGTATTTACTCACGAGATGGAGAAAACATTGTATATTTAATCTTTCTTGATCAAATTCCAACCAATATCTTACCTCTGATTTTATTGGAACTCGTACAATCACAATCGTACATAGAGTTTCCGAATGACGAATATGGCGATACAATTTTCTGGGAGAATTTGAAACAAGTTTTGAAAGATTGAAAATATTTTAAAAAAAATATTTGCGCTATGTTCATATGTCCTGAATTGTGGCGATTTTACTAACTTTCGAAAAGTTTCTTACTCTTAACATAATCATACATTTTTGTTTAATGAAGCATTGTTTGCAATCTATAATAAAATAAACATAATCGCTTTTATAGAAGGAAGTTTTTGCTTGTATAGATAAACTTGGATTGAGTGACTGTACATTGTAACGAATATATGTCGCCATTATTTTTTATTGTGAAGTCAAATAAGGAAATTAAATAGTAAATGAAAAATCGACAACCAACTTTGTCCCGCATAATGTTTAAAAAAATCAAGTGCAAAAAAATATTTCCTGCAGATTTATATCAAGTTTTGTTTTTGAGGTTTTTGAATTGTTCAAAACAAAAGGAGAGTTATTAAAACGAATCATAGACTTTTCTATTTAAATTGATTTCAGGCTTGTACAAAATTATTATGACATTTTCTCACTAAACAAATGACGAGGGCATATACATGCAAATGTTATATTCTTTGACTCACAAAACTGTTTTGTTGCATGTGGGATTGCGTATGTATATGAAGTAATTTAAATGATAATATTCTCACAGAAAGCCCTCATTTATATAAATCTTATCTTAATTTTCTTTTGCTTTAATACGTTTTGACTTGTACTACTTGATGTTTGCAGAACAAATAGAGGAACTCAACTGGAATTACAAAAAAAAAATATATCAAACCGTACAACAGGCAATATCAACCACCAATTGTTGTGTGAAGAGGCACAAACTGTGATGGGGAATTACACCAGTTTTACATCTTCCTGTCGGTCTGCATCATAGTCAGACTATGTTTCATATATTACTTGACTAATCTTTCTTATGTATGAAGAAGAGTATGTTCATAGCAGTTGATGCATTCATAGCAGAAGACGCCCCCTATCTCGCTACTTTTGCAGTTCGTGCGATTCTTTCAGTTCTTATTTTTTACTTTGATGATTTGTCTTCTGTATCTATTTATGAGATTTTAACATCAGTAAATTACAATAACATAATTTGGTGTAATTTGAAATAACTGTAGTTCGTAAACGTACGTCAGTCTGATCTAATTTTGGTGGTCGGTTTGTATGAGTTAAGATCTCAGAATTTAAAGGATTTGTAATTTGTCAATTCGTTACGTGTTGGAAATGAAAACAGCCCGTTGGGAAACTGTATGACCTCTTGGACACTCAAAACTGTTCTTACTAATGGTGACACTTTTTGTAAGATGGATAAATATACCTCTGATTCGATTTGGGAAAATTAAATACATATAGAAGTACATTTTGTGTGCAGGATGCACACTACCCTCGCAGAAATTGTTGCTGAAGAGAGTTTGATGAATAGTGCAAAACGTATAATTAGACCGCGCTGTCTTATCGAAAACACATATGTTTCAGTCTTTATCACACTTAAGTTAAATGTCACCCTTAACCCGTTTTAATTACAATTTCATGTTTAAATAGCAAATATGGACTTCAGCCGAACTTTTTAAATGTAGCTATCATAAAATTGAGAATGGAAATGGGGAATGTGTCAAAGACACAACAACCCGACCATAGAGCAGACAACGGCCGAAGGCCACCAAGAAACTCCCGCACCCGGAGGCGTCCTTCAGCTGGCCCCTAAACAAATATGTATACTAGTTCAGTGATAATAGACGTCATACTAAACTCCAAATTATACACAAGAACTAAAATTAAAAATGATACAAGACTAACAAAGGCAGAGGTTCCTGACTTGGGACAGGCGCAAAAATACGGCGGGGTTAAACATGTTTTTGAGATCTCAACCCTCCCCCTATACCTCTAGCCAATGTAGAAAAAACAAACGTACAGCAGTACGCACAGTAAAACTCAGTTTAAGAGAAGTCCGAGTTTGATGTCAGAATAGGAAACAAAAGAAAATAAACAAAATGACAATAATAAATAAATAACAACAGACTACTAGCACATACTGAAATGTCAGCTCCAGACTTCAATTAAACTGATTGAAAGATTATGTCTTCATCATATGAATATCAGGCACAATCCCTCCTGTTAGGGGTTCAGTATTATACCATCATAAAATATATGAGAAGAACATAACCCGTGACATGCCAACAACTGGTTTTAGAATAAATATGTTTAATTCCGATGCAAAGACCCTATAAGTGAATCAATATTAAAGCCAAAATATGCAATCTTTAATGCCCTGACAACAGTATCATAACTATATCCCTTCTTAATAAGTCTGTTTAAAGGTTTTGTTAGCTTTTGAGGTGAATACTGACATTTTTGTGCTTTGTAAAGAATATTACCATAAAAGATTGGATGTGAAATACCCGAACGTATAAGATGTCTGCATGTTGAGTTATATTTACGAATGATGTCCTTATATCGATGATAAGATTTAGTAAATGTTTTGACTAGTTTATGATATCGAAAACCCTGGTGTAGTAATTTTTCAGTAATACATAAATTTCTCTCGCTAAAATCTAATACGTTGTTACATACACGAGCGAATCGTACAAGTTGAGATATATAAACACCATAAGATAGTGACAAGGGAACGTCACCATCTAAAAATGGATAATTAACGATAGGAAATGAAAAATCATCTCTTTTATCATAAATGTTTGTATCAAGCTTCCCGTTAATGATATAGATATCAAGATCGAGGAAAGGACAGTGGTCATTGTTAGTATTAGCTTTATTTAAAGTAAGTTCAACATGATAAATTTCTTTAGTATACACACTGAAGTCGTCATTATTGAGAGCCAATATATCATCCAAATATCTAAAAGTATTGTTAAATTTTTGTATCAGATGTTGTTTCGATGGGTCGTTGCTGATTTTAGTCATAAATTGTAACTCATAACAATACAAAAAAAGGTCCGCAATAAGTGGTGCACAGTTAGTGCCCATTGGAATTCCGATAACTTGACGATAAACGGAATCTCCAAAGCGAACAAAAATGTTATGAAGTAAAAATTCAAGGGCAAATATAGTATCAAAGCATGTCCAATTGACATAGCTCTTTTGCTTGTTGCCACTAAAGAATGACCTAAAAGAGTTTGAACATATGTATTCGCATTCCGACTTTTT